AACACAAGGCATAACACATATGTACTTTAATAACATGTATACATCACACATATAAATGTATAAGAAAGTTTAAAGTCTTGGGTATTACATTCTCTCCCCCATAAAAATTGCATCCTCAAAATTTAACTTACTCAAACACATCCATATAATTCAATAAGCATAAAACATATTAATACAATTCATCGTGTAAGCATAATACACAATTATCAAGCACTTGCATGTTTACGATGTTACCGAAGCTTGAGTTTTAATTTACTATTTAGATCTATAGAATTGTGTTACTCTAATACCAACTCGTAACACCTTTGACCTAAGGGAGGCTAAGAGTGTTATCGTAATGACTCACACCCGTAGGATGTAAGACATTAAGCCCAATTTCATCTATCTCGTGTAATGCATAACAAAATTATTTAGGTTTTAGTTTAACTTGTTTTTGTTAGTGTAAGTGCCCAATATCTAACCTTGTTTAGATGATTTGACTTATTGTAATATTATATTTTTTATTTATTAATAAAAGAAGCTTTTATAATTAATTCTTGTTATTTATATTTTGATAGAATTAGATAGAAGTCCTTTTGATATGCATTGCATTAATGATTGATCAAAAGATATAAGACAAACATTAATACACTTAAATTGATATCATTAAATGTTCCAAGTCGCGAGCATTGTCAAGAATGGACATTGTATATGGTAAGACTTATGAGTGTTATGCTCATGCTATAAGATAGCATTAGGAATTCTCACACCTATTGACATAATGATGCCAAAACAAGCACTTAGGTGATTAATGTTAGAGAACATATCACTAGACGTGACACATCATGAGAACCCATTTGGTTTAGTCTATAAGAATTTCATATGAGATGGATACAACCGGTCCTTTAACTTGAAGTCATCATAGTTATCTCATTAGAGGATTTATGTACTTTAACACTCATTTTGATAGGCTCAACCAAGAGCTGCATATAAATGATTTGTTGGATGTACCGAGAATTTAATGAAAAGAGGTGGATGATAAGATAGGACATGTCATTTCTTATATGCTAAAGGAGTTATCACATTGCACTTCAATAAATATCTACTCAAAGAATCTATGGCCACAGTGGGAGTATACCAATAAAGTATAGTTGGCTTACTTTAGAGTTAAGACATTTAGGAATCAAGGAGAACTTGTGTGATCATAATCGAATAGACTTTAAACCAAGTTTAAGATCCCACTCTAATAAATTAATATGAGGACTGAATTATATGATAACCATGCTTGTGAAAGGTAATTGTGGATTAATTAATTCTCCTAGAGAATTGAGTAGTCATGATGCCTTACTAGAGGTCAATCTTGATTTAAGTATCGGGAGATAAAAGAGGTGTCTTTCATTCTTGATATATTGCCAACATATCTAGGAGCCTATTGAATCGTACGTATAAGTTTAAGCATTCACATAATAAAAAAGAAGCAAAAATTTTGAAAAAAGTTTTCAATTTTGAAAAATGCTTTCAAAAATGAAAAGTTTTCTATTTTGAAAAAAAACTTTCTAAAATGAAAAGTTCCTATTTTAGAAATTGTTTTTCAAATTTGGAAGTCGGTTCCAAATTTTAAAGTAAGCTACCTAAGAAGGAAATTATTTTTCTAATTTAAGTAATCCAAATTAATTAATAATTAATTGGGGTGAAAGAGTTTGAGCTAATAGGCTTAATTTAAAAGCTAGTAAGATATTTTGATGGAAGGATAAACTTGAACCCTATTGGATAAGGTTGAGGGTTTACATGAATAAAGTTAGACAAAGCCTACATAGGCAACATCTCCTTAACCTATTAGGAGATGTTGTTGCCACCCTTTATATAAATAAAGGAGAGAGGTGGCATCAAGAGTAAGCCAAAAACATACACATGATAAAAAAAGAAAAAAAGAGAAAAAATTTTTCTCCTAAAAACCTTGGTTGTCGCATCTTTCCCATCCAAGCCAATAGTTGCAGCAGAAACCCCGAATTGATTTCTAAAGAAAAGTTAACTACATAGAAGGATTGACGCTAGCATTCTATGATTTCTTTGGCTTCTCTTGTGGGTGTTTAAGTCTGTATGGATTATCGATAGAGGCTAGACACTTGGACGACTCCTTTCCGCAAAGGCTAAATCTATGCTATAAGAGGTAATCTTTTACCCATGCTTTTAATTCATATATATATGGTTAGTTGATTTAATGACTTGATCTTGGAAGCCTTAAATGGAGGAATTTTTTTTTTATTTCACACTCCATGGGATGCATGATCCTTCAGCTTTAAACCATCAATTTTCATAATAAATAAAACCATTTCATTAACCTTTCAAACTTGTTTAATCTAAATGTAACTCGAGTTTACCATTGTTTAGCCTTTACACTCTAAACCCGTACTTATATTACACACTTCGGCAACCTCGGCTTGCTTCTAGCAGCATTCTCAACATCACATTATGTCTTCAAGTATCTTTTGGCTTACCTACGCACCACAAGAAATAGATGTCAAAGGTTTGATGTGTTTATGTGACATATAGGTATTAGGATGGTTGTGTGTTTATATGTTTACTTGTGTTCATATGTTTAATTAATAATTGAAACTTTTTGATTTTACTTGATGGTTTTAAGTTCATGTGATTACTTGATGTTACTTGGTTATGTTCATGTGTTTATGTGTTACTTGGTTTGTGTTCATATACTAGTTGAGGTTGGGGTTATTTTATTTCATGATTATGGTGTTCATATGTTTACTTAAGGATTGCACTTTGATTGCATTCACATCATGAATTTTTTTTTATCATGTTTTCAATGCATACAAAGAAGAAAAATGTGCATTTTTTCAAGAAAAAAGCTTATAAAGAAAAGGATCCGGTGTATACGTCTTGCTAAGCTAACGACTAGATATGTTCAAAGATGGCTCACAAATAGAATGGTCTAATTTATACTTTTTGTGGGAAAAGGATTGGATATGTCTAGTGCTTTTATGGTATTTTCATAAAGGATGGTTTTCATTGAGGGTTGAATATATAGACATTCGAGCATGATGCGTTTGAAAAACATAAAATATATTTCAATGTCGGGAAAATGTATTTCTTTGCATTCATGAATAATTATACTTATTGAACATTAGCTCATAGTGTGTTTTGTGGTGTGTGGGTAAGCCAAAAGATATGTGAAGACATGTTGTGACATAGAGGATGCTCGCTGGGAGCGAGCCGAGGTTGCCAAAATGTATACTATAAGTATAGATTTAAAGTTTAAAGGCTAAACAATGGTAAACTCATGTTACATTTGGATTACACACAAGTTTGAAAGGTTAGTGAAATGGTTTTATTCATTGTGAAAATTGATGTTTTATACTATGCTAAACTAAAGGTGATCTTGAACTTTAAACCTAAATAATTTTACTCTGCATACATGAGATAGAGGATATAAAGCTTAGTATCTTGCATCCTACAAGTGTGAGGTATTACTTGGTAACACTCTTAGTCTCTTTTAGATCGAAGGTGTTACATTTTATAATTATAATTGTCTTATTCTTGGTAATAGAAATTATTATCATGGTCAAAAGGCTTTTGGAGTGTCTAATGAAATAGTTTTAACTTCAATCAAATATAATATTATTTAAATAAAAAATGATATTTTATTATTATTGTTATTGCTTTTGGTATTAAAAACAAACTATAAAAATTATATAATATAGAAATTTTAAAAGATAGTAGAAATATCAAATATCTATTGATTTACAATAATTCATAATCTACACTTTAAATGCAATATATGAAATTTAATTAATATATTTAATTCTTAAAAGTTTTTGAGATGATGGTTCTAACGGTAATCATTATTTTTTTCCCACTGTACACATTGCATAGTCATATTAGTTACTTACATAAAGTTACTTCCAAGTGTAGTTACTTCAAATTAAATTACTATAGAAATACCCCTAATACAAAAGATATCTTACTTTTAAGCGGTAAAAACAATGGATAACTATCGAAATAAACAGTCCTTTTGACGTGACGGTTTCCTTTTTAATGCGATAAATATCTTTATTCTATGAGCATAAAATTTAAGTTGAGCTATTAAACTTAAGGGAAGGAGGTGACTGGCGATTAGTCTCCTGTTGTGAAAGATTATGACGTCCCCATCATTTTCCGTGGTTGCTGCTTCTTTTTTTGAAAAACATTTCCCTTGTAGCATTGTGGTTGTTTGTGTTTATATTATGAATAGGATTGTTGTATATTTAAAAATGGATTAAAGATTCAGAATATTTTTTTTATTGTTTTAATCATATTTTTTATTAATTTTTTTTCAATTATCATATCTTTTTATTTTTAATTACTTCTGTATTTAATCCATTCAATCACTTTTTCAATCACCGAAAACAAAAATACTAAAATAAAAAATATCGAAAGTTGTCTTTATTATCTAAAAAATTGACCAAAGAGATAAAAAATAGACATAATTCAAAATAAAGAAATATAATAATTGATAAATTTAATATAAGATAAGATTAAGATATTTGAAATAATAGAATGATATGCTTGACCTTTAATCCATTTGAAGATAACCAAATAAATAAAAAAGGACAATATGCTACTTTTCAATTATTTTTACATTTTTTTCTTTTTTATATTTAAGGATATTTTTTTAGACAACTTGCATGTAAATGAAAACTAAAATCATTGCGTTAAAAAGAATTAATAAATTTTTTAATAATTCTAAAATTTGAACTAAAAAAAAAAAAACCTCTCCTCGATTATGAGAATAACACCTTCCCTTTATATTATTTTTAACTTCGGTTTTCAAATCTCTCTCTCTCTCTCTCTCTCTCTCTCTCTCTCTCTCGCATCTCCATTCCTATAAATAGCCAAGAAAACCCAAAGGCCAATTGCCCATCTGTCTCTCAGTACAAAGCCAATATTTCTACTTTCATTCCATCAACTCAACCAAGCCGTCTCTGTCTCTCTCCTGCTTGCACATAGCAACAACTTCTACAACAATGGTGCTCCTGTCCAAGCCAGTACTTGAACAGTTCTCGTTTGTAAAAAACAGCAAATCTACCACATTTTTTTCTGGAATCCCTCTAATAGACCTCTCAAAACCTGACTCCAAGCACCTCCTGGTTAAGGCCTGTGAGGAATTTGGATTTTTCAAGGTAATCAACCATGGAGTGCCTATGGAATTCATTTCCAAGCTGGAATCTGAAGCTGTCAAGTTCTTCTCATTACCGTTTTCTGAGAAAGAAAAAGCAGGCCCTCCTAATCCCTTTGGCTATGGTAACAAAAGCATTGGACAAAACGGTGATGTGGGCTGGGTAGAATACCTTCTCTTAACCACTAATCAAGAATCAATTTCTCAGAGGTTCTCTACAGTTTTTGGTGACAACCCAGGAAAGTTTCGGTATGAATTAAACTTCAACTAAATCAATAAATTTTTTGAACTTTATCCACAGAACCATGTTTTCTTTTTTCTCTTTTTTTTTTTTTAAATTATTTTCTGTTAGACTCTGCTTTTGGTTTGGATGTTTCAGGTGTGCTTTAAATGATTATGTATCAGCTGTGAAGAAAATGGCATGTGAGATTCTTGAAATGATGGCTGACGGTCTAAAGATTCAACAAAGAAATGTATTCAGTAAACTTTTGATGGATGAACAGAGTGACTCTGTTTTTAGGCTAAATCACTACCCTCTATGCCCAGAAATTCAAGCATTGAATGACCAAAACATGATTGGATTTGGAGAACACACAGACCCACAAATCATTTCTGTGTTAAGATCCAACAACACTTCTGGCCTTCAAATCTCTGTCAATGATGGAAGCTGGATTTCAGTTCCACCTGACCAGAACTCATTTTTCATTAATGTTGGTGACTCGTTACAGGTACATCTAAACTGCTGTTCTCAACACAAAACAATTTCTACACCACAAAATTTGTAGTAAAATTTAAACCCAACAGTTTGCTCATTAGGTGAACTCCATTGGCTAGTTGTCTTTATAATTTTTCTTTCTTTCTCTTCATTGAAAGTTTAATAGATATTGAGGTGTTGAAGGGTAGCCCTCATACTCCAAATTCCTTCCATTTTTGGAATAAACATGATTTGAGTTGGAGTTGTATGGAATGATGCCAAGTGACTTTTTAAGAGCAAAAACCTCCTACGTACACGCTTTGCCTTTTTTAAGGGATTGGTTATGTCCTTTTTCATGAAATTGTGTGCTGTTCCGATAGTCAAAGTCAACTTAAAGAGAAAGAAACTTCCGATTTTCATACTCATTCCCTTCCATACATTGAATGTGATTTTAATGAAGTAATCCTGATTTGGTTGGTGGCTGTGCAGGTTATGACTAATGGGAGGTTTAGAAGCGTAAGGCACAGGGTTTTGACCAACAGCATGAAAGCTAGAGTTTCAATGATTTATTTTGGTGGACCACCTTTGAGTGAGAAAATAGCTCCATTGCCGTCACTCATGAAAGGAAAGGAAAGCTTGTACAAAGAATTTACATGGTTTGAGTACAAAAGATCTGCTTACAACTCGAGATTGGCGAATAATAGGCTTGTCCCCTTTGAGAGAATAGCAGCCTCATAAAAATACACACACAAAATCAAGTCTCGCGTTTCTGGTAAATGGTCTTGTCAAATACTCCAAAAAGTAGGTTTCGAAAGGCTTATCAAATTTCCCATGGATGGAATTAATACCTAGTATTTTCTACTTTTACTTTACTTCGGCCTTCGATTTTCTCCAATTTTTGTCTTCCTTACTCCATGTAATTACTCTTCTTGTTAATAAAACAAATTTATCTTCCATACCCTACAGTCAAAAAACAGAAGTGTTAATGATATTTGATTGCAAAGGTTATTCCAAAACAAGAGATGGCAAAATACATCATGCAAGTCTTGGAAGGACCATGTCAGATTCTTTGCAACATTTAATCAAAATAACTCAAAAAGAAAAAGAAAGCGAATCATGGGTGAAGGTACTAATCGATTAACTTCGGAATTACACACAAGAGAGCTCTTTTATTTTTTAATTCTTTAATAGGAACGATAAGAAGAACAATAACAAAAGAAAAAAATATATTCTATGAGACAGTAACTCAATTGTCCTTATTATGAATAGTCGATTAACATTTATATTATTAATTGTGTTAATTTAAACCTCGAAATAAAAGATCTGATCTCTAATTTATTAGTATTATTTTTAATCTTTCAATTAAAACTACAGACTTTGACATATTAATTGTACATGACTCTGATTGATCATGTCTTCTAACCCTTCATCTAACCTTAGTCGTTTAATTAAAAATGTGGTCATTTGCAATTCAAATGCATGTGCTGGTTTGGAAAAAACGAAAAACAAAAAAATTAAGTAAAATAGTTTTGAATCCCAATAATTTTAATTTATTTATTTACCACAGAGGGCTATCCTTCATACTGTAACCTAAGAATCAAATAAATTATAAATTAATCCTTTAGTTTTAGGAAACGAATGAATTAATGAGACTCGTTAAAAAAAAATTATTATTTAATTTTTTTATTTTTAATTTTTCTTGTAATTTAATCATTTTTTGTTTCTTTTTTTTTTCAATTTATTTTGATTTTTTAAAATTGAATGAGAAAAAAAGAGTAGAAGATATGAAAAGATTGATGAAAAAAGATGACAATTTATAAAATAAAATAATATTAAATTAATTTTGGTCAATATTAATTAAATGAAAAAAATAATTAGTAATAATTAATTTGTTTCTTGAAAATGAAGACATTAATGTATAATTTACTTTCCCAGACTTATGAACTTTCTAATGAGCCAAAAAAATAAAAATAAAAATCATTACAGCCAGTCTATAAGATCTTTCTATTACGATCTATTATAAAACTTAAATGTTAGTATCTCATAGTCCAGTTTTAGCCGGCTGATAGCTTAAATTACTCTTCCGTAAAATTTCTTTCAGAATCTTTTTTTTTTTTTTTTAATTCTAATGGGATTTTGACCAAACTTGCAAGTTTTATTTTTAAAAAGAAAATAATTGAGGTGTTCCTTTCCACTTTTTTTTATTCTAATAGAATATTTCAATTTAACCAAATTTCTTAGCTTTAAATTTTTTTAATACAAATAATTGAGATGTTCCTTGGAAGACAATCAATTATTATTATCATCATACCTGCGAATGCAAACCACAAATATACTCCATTTCAATTTCTTAAAGTAGCAATATGGAGATAGGAAAGAGAAAGCTAGCTATATAAATATAAATATTAATAATTTAGTATCTGTGTGGCACTTTCAAAGGGACCAATGTATCTAACATACATGCAATAAAAATCAAATAAGATTAATTAAAAAAAAAAAATCAACATGCACAAACCATGGCTTCAAACGCATTGAAAGAAAATGACTTTACATTTACCCATACCTATCTTGGTCTCTTGGCTAAGATTATGACACTTCTCTAAAGTTCTCCTACATCTTGTAGAAGAACCTTCTTGAATAACAATAGTGGCCCATTGGAACACATCATTTTTTATTTATTTTTTTAATTCTGCACACAACTTGACTTTACAAACAATGAGATGAGGGGAGACACATCGTTTTACACGCACATCCATATCCTAAAACAAGGCTATTCTTTTTCTTTTCTTCCTGGTTTGGTTAACCAAAATAATTGCCGTACTTCTAAATCTAAGCCATGCATTGCATTACATTGCCTTAAGATATGGATAAAGAGAATCCCAAGTCGGTGCCTAAAAAAAGGCCACGTGATCATATATTCCTTGCCCTACACTAGTAGTCCATCAAAACTCTCTACTTTTATTCCATCGTCATCGTCATCATCATCAAATATCAGAATTTAGGAATTTCAGCAAGATATTTGTACGTCATTCCGAGATTGTAAGTAATCATTATAAAGATGGAGCACATTATAATTGAATTTTCATTTATACTGATTTGGTTAGAAAGCAGGGGAACATTTTAAAACCCGGAAGAACTTTTTTTTTTTTTTTTCGCCTTCTTCTTCTAGAAATTACGACACAAAGGTAATCTAGGATTTATATAAAAATCTTATCAATCCATGAATTTGTGATTCAGCGCCATAGTCCTAAAGTAAGATTATTTACAGACAATAATGCCAGAAATTGAACATTGCCACACATGCTCAGTTCACAATTTGACTATTTGAACTAACCTCGCAAGGTCCAAAGTTCATATTACAAATTCTCGTATTATACACGTTGTAGTTGCGGCTCTATATAAAAAATGAGATAGTATTGCATTCTAGAGATGCTATAATAAGGAAAAATGCAATAGAAAGAAGAGTGCCGAAAAAGCATACTCGTAGCACGTGAAAATGTAGTGGTAAATGAGAACTAAGTAATTGCAGAGGATGATATCAGTAGGCAGGTCCAATGGGAGGGGAGTGAAAAGTCTTGAAGGAGCACTACAGTCTATCGAAAGTGCAGATAGATGGCCTCTAGAAAAGGAAAGTGTTGTTGTAAAGAGAGAAGGTATGGAGTGAACTAACTAACAAAAAGTATTTGAATAAAAAAAATTCTTTATACTGTATCTCTATGAAAATGAGTACGATTCATAATTTGTTGATATGATTACGCTAAGTATTTGGTACATGGACGGCTGCACGAGTGCCATATATCCAGAGGTCCATGGTTACGTTTATGCATAGCCAGAAAAAGAGGTTAATGGGCAATTGGGTTAACTTTTAATGGATTTTACTCCAAGACCATCAAATCAAATCACCCTTTATAAGGATCCTCTTAAGGATATAAGAAAACAAATTTTGCCTGTCACTACAAAAAAACGTAAAATAGCGATATTGAATTAGCAACAGATAATCATTTGTCGGTGTATAGTGACGGATTTATGAATGAGTAATGATTGTTATCAATTTTCAGACATTTGATATTGATAATGACGAAATACCAACTAATCACCGATAGAACTTTAACGACATAGCACTTCCGTCATTAAATAACGTAGTAAATTTTTTGCATTTTTATTTTAACGATAGATTGTTAACTAAATTGCAATGGCATTCGATGATGGATTTTGATTTTCGTCGAAAATGTTGGAGCCTTTTTTTTCCCCTCTTATTAGCAATAAAAGTTTCCATCGCTAAACCTTTATTGTCTCGCCAATCACCTATGAAATATTTTCGTCCCTAAAAAGCCAAAAACGAGTGACGAATTATCCGTCACTAGTAAATAAAAAATTGGTGCAATTTTGAAATTTTAAAATAATGATGAACACTTATTTCCATCGCTAAAAAAACACAAGTTAGTGATGGAATAGTGGCGGAGTCACATCCGTCACTAAATAAAATCCCTAAATTGGGTAAAACCCTTTCTTTTCCTATCTTCTTCTCCCTTCTCCCACAAAAATTCTCGTTTTTGCCTCCTCCAACCATGCCACCGATCGTAAGACCCCTCCCACCACCTCATAAATCAATCTCCTCTCGCACTCCAAGCATTTATTCCCCCATTAGACAAAATCCATTTCTTCCGTAATTTTCTTCTCCCTTCTCCTAACAAAACACTCACCATTGTAACCTCCAACCCGCTTCCACCTCACAAATTAGTCTCCTCCGCACTCCAAGCGATCACCAGCTACTCCAGTCATCTCCTCTCCCAAAATGCACTAGTTATCTCCAAAAAAGGTATATATGTTTTTTGTATTTTCCTTTTTATCTATTTGATTTGTTATTGAATTTTATATATGTAATTAATTGTTAATAAATATGTTAGAAAAGTTGAATTTATGTTATTTCAAATTTAATTGAGTATTTTTTTCATCAAAATTATTTGGAATTAATTAGGTTTGGTTGTTAATAAATTAAGATAAAATTTAGAGTTTGTAATTTGTTATGTAATGATTAAAAATAAAGGTGGAGTCATTTGATAGTTAAATTATTGGAAAGAAAATAAGATCTTAAATTTTAAAATTGACAAAATATAAGATTATTTAAAATTAGAATTTTAAAATTGATATTTTTTTGGGTTAGATTTGTTTGATATAAATAAATAATTAGTTTTTTTTTATATAAATTGTGATGTCAATTATTCATATACAAATTTGTTTTAGCAAATGCGTCCATCACTATTGATCTTTAGCTTTACCGACAGCTACTCCAACCATTCCAACAACTTTTTAGCCACTCCCGCTTGTCGGGTAAGTTATCGAAACCATAATTTATGATTATGTCGTAGAATAATTGTAAATTAATAATAAAAATTGAAATTGAACTTATTTTACTAATAGTTGTTAAAGTGTGTTGAGATACATCGTAGCGTATTGAATCCGAGAGGTCGAAGATCCCAAGAATTAAGGAGAAATAAGATGATGTTAATGCTCTATGATGGAGCCGAGAGGATATGAAGGATAATACATCTAATACATGAGTGAAATAAATAATTTTTTCTCCTCCATCTAAAGTCTCAAGATTAATCGTTGAATCAACTAATTACATTAACGTAAATTATTTAGATCATTATCTCTTGAAGTGTAGTATCAAGTTAGCGGATTAAATCGTCTATGTATCTAGTCTCTAGTGATAATCTATGTAACTTAGATGCCAA